ATATATAACAAAATGTAGAAAAATGCAAAGCTAAAGCTAAAAGCTAACATTAGGAAGACAATTGTTAAAAGCTAAAAGTAGCACTGGAAGACAAAACTAAAGCAACCTTTCAGAGAACAATGTTTTTTTAAAGAAATGAAAGGTCTATAAGGATTTTTTGTTTGAAACTAACTTCACTGCGGTTACTATATAAGACACAACTGCACTGTTCACAACTGATCCAGATATTTCAGTAAACTATTAATAAGCATAAAGGATGTGGAAATACTTTTATTGCGAAAACTGTACAGGGAATAAAACAGGAAAACAAAATTATTGTCCTTTAAAAGCATTGCTCACTTTCAGTTGATAATTGTGTTTTCTATATCAGAATATTTTATGGTTTAAAAAAAATCCTCAAAAGCCTGCTAATTTATTCTAAAAAAAAAGGCAAATGCAACCCATGTTGCGTAATACTGGTGTAACAGCAATCTGCAGTCTCACATCCTGTTTTTATCATGGATGTTGCTTTCAGGTGCATCTGGAAACGTCAAAACTCTGGATGATTCGTACCAGTTTACAGTGGATGTTCGAGGCTTCTCCCCTGAGGACGTCATCGTCACGACATCCAACAACCAGATAGAAGTTCGTGCAGAAAAGGTGTTGTTTGTTTATTTATTTATTTATTTATTTATTTATTTATTTATTTATTTATAGGTTTAAACACAGATCTCAGTGTCACCGTCACATCACACTCAGCCGTCTTCACTGTTCTCTCTGTTGTAGTTGGCTCCGGATGGTTCAGTCATGAACACTTTCACGCACAAGTGCCAGCTACCGGAGGATGTGGACCCCACCTCGGTGACGTCATCGCTGGGCCCTGAGGGGACCCTGACGGTCCGGGCGAGGAGGAACCCGGCCAAACACGAGCTCGTACAGACCTTCCGCACGGAGATCAAAATCTAGAGTGGGGGGCCAAGTTTCTCACCACAAACTCGTCACGTCTTGTTTTAACTCATGTTGTCCTGTTTCCACTTCAGCCACTTTCTACCAAAAATAGTTTAACTCTACGTAAACAGATCGGAGTGAAAATCACCATTTCACTCCTGTTCTGTACTGTTAAAAACCAATTACTATTTTTTCATAAATAACTATTTATTGTGTAATGTTACGTGTGTGGATAAATTATCGTTGAACGTAAACACCTGTTCTGTATAAGAACATATAATAAAAAAATGTGCACTAATAATATGTGACAAAAAGCCTGCCTAGATTAAAATAACATTCAATAAATGAATGTACAGTATATCATCCACTGCATTTGATACCAGAGTTTTCAGAAAGAGGAGAGAAAGTTAGAAGAAATTATGCAAGATCTCATGCAAAGAGTCAGCTCTTGCACTATCTGTTAGTGTGCTTCATGTATGTGTTGAGGATGACTCTCAGCTACTACCACATCAAATGGTAGCTCAGTATGTGTAAAATAAACTATATTATAGCCATTTTTGTGTTGCCTGAGGTCAATTAGCTCTGGTAGCCATCCAATGATTACTTCCTAACAGGTTTCATTAATATTTCTCCTGTTATTCCAGAAATATTTTGCAAAGGCAAATGAGCACATGCACATAGAAACAAGCAAAAATTTAGAAAACACGAACAACACATTTTGATTTTCTTTGAATATTTGTTTTTTATGCGAACATCAAGGAAACCAAGCTACAATAATGCATTTTTTTTATTTCAAATTGATTTTTATGTATTTTTGGTTTAGATATTTTATATTATAACGCAATAACTTTAGAGTATTTAGATGTTCATTTTTCATCGTAAATTCTGTGTGGGTGATGATGGGTAAAAACCAGTGGTGGAGAAAGTACTCAAACGCTGTACTTAAGTAAAAGTACAAATAAACAGACAAAAATGTACTCTAGTAAAAGTAAAAGTACCACATTAACATTTTTACTTGAGTAAAAGCAAGTACTTGCTTTTAAAAATACTTAAGTATTAAAAGTAAAAGTACTTGCTTAATGTATTCCCTAATGGTCTACAATATTATGAAGTGTGTCTATGTATATTTTAAATACATCAATGGTGTGCGATTTTAGTGAACAATGCTGCAGTTTGTGTTGACCCTCTGCAACACTGTTCACACTTGGTGTGATTCTGTGCATCATCACAGATCGTGACAACAGAAGCTGTAAATTTGCCACCATCGTCCTTTATCAAATCTCAACAAGTCATTTTTTGAACCAGTTAACTTGAATAAATAAGGCCATGAGTGGCACATTTCCTCCACTGTGGAATCCATTGTGGGCACGCTGCTGCTGCTGCTGCTGCTGCTGCTGCTGCTGATGCTCCAGGTGATGCAGAATCGCTCCGCCCTTTTTTTTAAGGAGGGTCTAATTTTACTTTCCTGCTTTGCATTGATTCAATGGACCAATTAGAGAAATTCCCCTCTCACCACTGATTACTTTCAAACTAAACGAAAAAAAAAAAAAGCAATGCAACAAGACATGAATGTAATTTGTAATTCAACACATTACAGAAATGTAGTGGAGTAGAAAGTACAGATACTTAATGCAAAATGTAGTGGAGCAAAAGTAAAAAGTACACATGATGAAATCTACTTAAGTAAAGTGCAGATACATGAAAAATGTACTTAAGTACAGCAAGAAAGTACTTGTGCTTAGTTACATACCACTGGTAAAAGCAGAAGGAAGTTACCTCAGTGCCAAAATCTTATTCTCACACTCATCCATCCATTCATCTATTCAGGTTTTTATATTCACTTTATACGATTCAGAGCCACAGAGGTTGGAGCTTTTCCCAGCTGACAAAGGCGCAGACAATATTAGTGTCTATCTCAACYATGAATCACCAAATTAACTTAAAATGCATGTGTCATAGCAGACTAGGACCGTTTTTATACAGTGAAGAAAAGAAACAAATGAAAGCATGACTAATGGTCCTCATACATTTGATTAAAAAAGAAATCCAGATATAATAAAATGTACCAACCCGTGACCAATGACAACCACAAGGTAAACTCTCAAAAATCTATACGAAACAGAATTAACATTCAGTGGATAGGGGAGACATCTATTCAGTCTTTTTTGTGTTGAAGTAATTGTGAATAATCTTGCCCTTCTTTTGAAAGCAGTGATTTTAAGAGATTATCAAAGGCACAATTTCAAAGACTATGCATTATATGTGCACAATTTATACAACTGAATTYGCAACATAGTGTGTTTTTAAAATTATATTCATGTTGTTTATCAGACTATAATTCATTTTGGCAGGTCAACATCTGGTCTAGGAAGAAAAACATATTTAATAAATGATCAAATGTGCAATTATTAGTAATAATAAAGAATTTTAGCAAAAAATTATAAAGGTTTTGATTGTAGTTGAAGTGTTTGTATTATTTACTTTCTCTATATGTATAAATTGCGCCATCTAGCGGACAGCATTGATGTAACATGTGTTTTACAGTGCGCATGCGTCGTTGTGACTTCTGGTTGGTGTTGTGTCGAAAAATGTACCCTTTTCGTCGCATACGCATTTAAAGGCCGTTTTATTCAAAATTATAATACGAGTGAAAGTCACACGCRACAAACTATTTTTCTACATATTTAAGAACACAATTCTCCACGGTTATTTAAAGCTATAACATTTAATCCCTCGCGTGCTGGTGCTACGGCTTCCTTCGTGACGTGGGTGGTTTGTAATGTATAACACCGGTCCCTATCAATCGATCAGAGAAAGCAAGATGGCGGTGTAGCTTGCGGGACGGAGATCGATCACCGAAAGCTCGATCGAGTTCGTTCTTTCGTCTGTCTGAAACTACACAACTCATCGTATTTCAGCGGTGTGAAATCGGAGCAAGGAGACGATAACTAGTAGGTACTTTTGGGGCCGGTTTCTGTTAAAGTGACGGCGACTGACTCAGTGAAAAGCGGTAGCTAGCTCAGAAAACAACAAGAGACGACAGGCCTGAGCTGGGTCTCGTGTTGTCCTCGCCGCATGTAGGCACGCTAAATTAATCCCTGATACAACAGCTACGAGGATGGAGGAATTGTAATCGATGCATTGCGCTGTCAAACCATWTTTTCTAAACTTATACAGAAATCTCTCTCCTGTATACTACAAAATGTATTTTAGTGGGACAGCATAGCAGATGAACAGGTGCAGGAGGACTGCTCATTGTTAGCTAACGTGTTGTTACGTCGCATTGCTAAATGCACAATAAACACCGATATGGTTGTAAACTTTGCTGTGACAGTCTTGTAATTTTGTGTTATGATTCGATATTAGAAATGCTGGGAGCTATTTTGCAAAAGTAAAATGTTGGTGATTTAAGGTAATCGACGAAACCAGACCCTTTTGTTTAGCTGGTCTTATTCATTTCACAACAACTGCAGTAAAACCGCATTTTATAGCTTCACATTAATGTGAAAAGTAGATTTTATAACTTGGATGCTACAGAATTGTCTCTGGGTCCTTTTCTTAAGACATCATGTCTCACAGGACTTTGGACAGTTCTTTTGCTTTGATTGCACTCTGTGTCCTTCAGGGTACACTCCCTGTAGATGTGCACTAATGAGCTCAGACACAGATGGACCATATTCAAGATGTAAAAGATGCAGTTAAGATTGAGTGGGTCAAAACAAACGAACTGTTTCTTAAATGACAGATTTCTGTCTTAATAGAATCAAAACTGTGTTTTTAATGTGATGCTGTGAGTCAACTTATATATCAGAGAAGACAGAATGAGGAAAGCTTGAGAAGATTTTAAAGGGGCAATATCATGTAAAATCAACTTTTTTGAGTTTTATATCGTGTTATAATGTTATACTCTCATAAAAAAAACATACCCAAAGCCTTGCTTTGACTCATTCATGCATGTTTGAGAAATCCTGCAGTATTTTTAGGAAGCCGTGCTGAGGAGCAAAACGACAGGTGGGGACCAGAAACGCCTTTTGGTAGCAGAAATGCCCCTGGGACGTGTCTTTAAGCCGAGCTTCCTCATGGCAGAGCGCACCCCCTACCTCCCTCCCCACACACCCTGCCCATGACTCCTGCAGGCTCTTGGTTAGGTTCTTAAAGAGACAGAGGCCAATTTCAAGGCGTTTGGAAGAGGAAGTGATAAGAAGATAAGTTTATTTTCTATTTAAACATAAAAACAGCATTTTAAAAACAACTAAAGGTGACATAGATAMTTTATTATGGTACAGTAGTTAAATTTATGCCTGAGAAACACATAAAACTGGTCCTTTAAAACTCAGCCAGGAACAGCTTAGTCGTATTTTTTTGACATGTATGTTATTCTGTATCATTGGTGCAGCCATTAAAGTGTATCAGAAAATGTTTGTTGTTCTTTAACACACAGATCCTGTGTTTGCCAGCCGGTCYGACCCTCATCCCTTCAGGACGATGGAGTTCCCGTGGCACAGCGGAGAGGTTCTGGAGCAGCTGAATCGGCAGCGGAAGCAGGGCCTGCTGTGTGACTGCACGTTCGTAGTTGACGGCGTTGACTTCAAGGCCCACAAATCGGTGCTRGCGGCGTGCAGTATGTACTTCCGCACGCTTTTTCTGGATCAGAAGGATGTGGTGCATTTGGACATCAGTAACGCGGCAGGCAGGTTTCACTTTACCTCTGAAACAKTTTGACCAAATCAAGCTGCATTCTTTAATATGGGCCACAATTACAGTATTTACTTAAGTCTGCCACTCTGGCTTTGCTTCTCTAACCTCATTCCTCTTCTTTTTTTTTTTCTTATTATTGTTTTAGGTTTAGGCCAAGTCCTGAATTTTATGTACACTTCCAAACTGAGTTTAACTCCACAAAATCTCGACGACGTGCTGTCTGTTGCTCACTTCTTGCAGATGCAAGAAGTCATAAACGCATGCTCTGCATATCAGTCTGTATCACGTCCAGCTCCACCTATTATAACATTGGATGATCCTATTGATGAATCAGGTATTCAATATATATA